AGAAATGCTCCACTCCACTACCGAGTTGAAAATTTGTCAAAAAACGGCTTTTGAGATTATTAGATTAATGGAAGTTCGAGAAAGTTAGATACATTTATTGAAATGTTTAAATTTTCTTGGCTTAATAATCTTTTTAACGAAAAAGAATGTATAACAACAGAATGTTTAGAATATCTTCTCATACTCCACAATTATTGAAGACAGCAACAGTTCAGCATTTGGATAAGTTTGCGGCGGATGGTTTACGAACGCTCTGTTTGGCTTATAAGAAAATCGACATCGATGTTTTCGAGAAATGGCATGTATGTTTTTTTCAGTTTCAAAAGAAATCGACCAATGGGCATGTCTCCGAACAAATAGACTGAAGGCGGTCGGTGCAGAGATTTTGACGATTCGGGCTCTTTTGACACGGGGTTGTCGCAGACGAAAAGCCAAACGCGTAGATCAGCTGTGCCGCTCTCTCGCGCTTCTTGTACTTGCTACGTGCTAGTGCGTCGGAAAACAAAATCGTCTCTCCGAAAATTATCCGAGTTGCTTGCCACTTTCTTTCTTATTAATATCAGTCACTGATATGTGACATTCACCGATCAGTGGTGAAACAAGTGAGGTTCTTAGTCCACGTGGTTTGTCTTTTTTCTTCGGCCGGTAGACTGCACGCCATCTACTTAAATGTGGTCAGTGGTCTAGCTAGAAACTGCAGTCGCCACTATAGCATTTTTTTTTATTATTGTGCGGGTAAAACTGTTTTTTTAGGAACGGCAAAAAGAAGCAGCTGTGTCCCTGACAAATCGTCAAGAGCGACTGGACCGGGTGTACGATGAACTTGAGCAGGATATGATACTGCTTGGTGCAACGGCGATTGAAGATCGGCTGCAGGACGGTGTTCCTGACACAATTGCAGAGCTCGCTCGTGCTAATATCAAGATATGGGTTCTTACCGGTGATAAGCAGGTGCTACTCGCTGAGCATATCAAATAAGTTGAAAAATCTTTTTCCCGCGAAGCAGTCTTCCAACTCACAGGCATTTGCTTGGGGTCCAAGCCATAATGATCTCAGATCCTTCCGTACTACAAGAATACGACGCCTGTTAGAAATGTACCCAGGCTGGAACCGGCCGGGCGGGCCCGTGCGATCATGCGTTTTTGCACCGAACTTGAATTACTTAGGTCATTAACTGTATGAATGGTTGTTGCTTTACACCTACCTTTTGCGGTCACTAGCATAAATCAC